TTTAGTGTTACAATGGATAGGAATTTGTGAGGAACTCTGATCGCCCACGTCCTGAAGAGACAAAAGACATAAAAGAATAAAGTAATAATTGTTATAAACGATCCGTTGCTTTTACGCTGCTAAAACAAACTTCTTTGACTAGAAAATGGTTTAAAAAGAAGAAATACAAAAGTTTATTCTGTCCTTCACTATCATCATTAGGAGATATTTTGTAATGACGTCTTTCTTTCCGGTTAAGTGACTGCATCACAAACCATTCAACTGATGGATACCTTTTTATAGCAGAGGAGTGGTTTTAGTAGCAATCAAAAGGGAAGCGGAATTATTAATGATAAAATTAGAAGACAAAGGCATCCTAACAATTAAAATTCAAATAAAAATTGCTCAGCGCAAAGACAATATTAAGCGCCAATCGGAATTCGTTTTTTTTTCTTGGTCACTGTTCTTCTGTGGAAAGATTTTAGAATCAAAAGCTCCTATAATTATAGAAATAATAATTGGTACTAACAAAGTTTTCCCGTTTTATGATATCTTAACTTTTATCTCCAGGTTCTTTTTTGTTTTGCTTCGTAAGATCTTTTCCTTCGTATTTTTTTTTATAAATATTCGTTTTTTGTTTTTTTTTTTGTTTTTTGTTTGTTTTTTTTTCACTAACAACGTCTGCTAACTTTCATTCAGAAATAAGTAAAAGCAAATCTCCTAAAGGCTCAAGTTCTCTTCTGTATTTTTCCTGATTTTAGTTATATCAATTGAATAGTTTTCCTAAAATTATTTAATTTATTTATTTACTTTTATTTCTCTGCGTACCTCTTGTTAACTATTTAAAGGTCGCCGATAATGATGGTATATTTGGCATTTCCATCTCGATGCTTTCAGTTCTCTCACAGCACTCAAATATATTCCAGCTTCTCAATCTCTTTCAAATTTATTCCATCATTTCCTGAAACAACTATATCCTCTACCTAATATATATATATATATATATATATATATATATTCATTTTATAGATATAATTTATTTAAGCAAATGCTCTTTAATTACACAGTATTAATTACGTTTACTGGTCAGAATGTTCTAGAAATTTCGTAAATAATATGCATTCCACTATAGTAATCGAACCTATATTCCTATATGGAAACCGTCATTCCGCCTGACGTGCTGTACCATTCAGCTACTGCTATGATTGTAACGAATCAATTCTTTATCCGACGTTAGTAGACCTGCTGATTGATCGCCTGGCCCTGTGGCAAGAATTCGAAGAACGGATTAGTCGTGTGACTTTTCCGACACACCTTTGTTCATATTTCGCTATTTTATTGCTTCTTACGACATATATATATATATATATATATATATATATATATATATATATATATATATATAATTCATAATGGTAAATTATAAATTGTGGCATACGCTGATTATTTGAAAAAAGTTTATTCTTCTCACTCTCTTCCTTTCTCTACCTATCGGCATCTCTCTCTAACTCTCTCTCTCTCTCTCTCTCTCTCTCTGCCTTTCTTTGCACTCTTCCTCTCTCTCCCCCAATCTCACACACGCACAAATATGTATAGACGTCTTTAAAGTGATTATGAGAATTATGGCTGTAATATTTAGTTATCACTGCCTCATTAAAAGTTATCACGCATCTACAATTTGCATACTGGCTCACAAAAAATCTTAAAAGTCTCTACAAAAGTCCGTACTTCATCAGTTTCGCAAAAGTGAACATTTTGGCAACAGATCGGATTAGTGATGCAATGCTACTAGTATGGCTATTTATAAAATATGCTATTCCTTGATTTTTATTAAAATTATTGTTTTTGATTATTATTATTAGTAGTAGTATTAGTAGTAGTAGTAGTAGTAGTAGTAGTAGTAGTATTTCCAAAACGTAAACTATAATCTGGAATTAGAATGAAATTAGTGATGGTACATCCACTGGAGCCATCATAAAAATTCAGAATATGATATTAATAAACTTAAAACTCTTCAAATACCTCAGCTTATGAATCAGTTATAACAAATTTAGTATATGAAGTAAAGAATTTGAAAATAGGATTTGAAAATAGGATTTGAATTTGGAAATAGGATTTGAATTTGAAAATTCAAATCCTATTTTCAAATCCTATATTCAAAATATAGGATTTGAAAATAGGATAGGTTGCGCTTGGAATGGTTTTCTCCAACATTGCAAAATGCTACAAAACCGAAATATTAACGCAAGAACTCAAATTATGCTCTTAAATATTCTCGTCAGATTTGGATTCTCATACGGATGTCATGTGTGGGTCTCTAACTACTCCAGAAATGCCTAATCTATCAAATATATACAACCTTTTTTTCTCAGACCAATGATTAAAAACAGTTTCAAGCCTATGAATCTGAAAGAAGAAAAAAAAACTTTCATCAAATCTTGAATGCTAACGCCACAGAATCAGCTAAAATAGATAAGCTAGAAGAGAAAATAATGATATTGACATTCCACGGTGCCTTAAACAAAATGTTAAAAAGGAAATTCCTGTCAATACTAGAAAGAGTTATAGCAGCTGACTCAAGAAGTCTATTTTCCTGAAAAACTGTTTCAAGAAGAGAAAAATTTTATAAATTTCAACCGAGAGTAACGAACATTTCCTGTGCAGAAACGACTAACTCACTATTTTACGTCGAGGAATGTTTTATTGACATTTAGTTAGCCTCGTAATTGGTTATTGCTTTTTTTTTTTTTTTTTTTTTTTTTTTTTGGTTTATCTGTTTTTATGGCAGAAAAACATACGAATAAATGATGGATTAAATTCTTTCCTTTAAAATAATTTAGTTTGTTATTTGTAGTGACGGAAATTTGTCCAATTATGAGAAGTTATCGGATTTGTAATGAATAATTGCCTTCGTTAGTTTTGTTTTGTTTTTTGTTTTTTTATTTTTTTTTTTTTTTCATAATTTCATACGCGGAATTTGAATGTCAAGATAATTATGTTTTATAAAATGTCAACTACAAAAAAGAAAAATGCACAGTCCTGTTCTTTTTAACGTATGAATTATTTTACTGCATTAATATAATCACATGGTGAAGAATAGTGACGACAAAAAAGGAAAGCGACAAAAGAGAGAAAGGAGAAAAAGAAGGGGAGGTAAGCAACAAAGAACAACAATAACAACAAAGATAACGTAGAAACGAAGAAGAAGAACAAGGAAAATACGTGGAAAGAACGACAACGACAAAAAAAAAGACGTGAAAAAGAACAAAAATAACAACAACGGTAAGCGGAAAGAAGAAGAACAACAACAAAAGTACATGGAAAAGAACAACAAAAAATGTTAGAAAGAACATCAGGAGTACGTGAAAAAGAACAACAACGTCATCAACAAAAGTAAGTTGAAAGATTAACAACGACGAGAGTACAGAGAAAAGAACAAGGAGTAATGGATATCGGCTTGGATTGAGGAATCGGAGAGCCGAGTTCGAATTCCATTCGAATCCATTACCATCACTTACGTGCTAATACCCTTGGGAAAGGTATGAATCCTCTTCTTCTCCCACCAGCTATGGGTAAATAGCAGGACAGACTGGGTTCTATAGCCTTGGATGGCAACTGGTCTAGGAGAACGACAACTCTGAATTCAAACCCGGAGTGGAGCCCGGAAGGCGGATAGACGGCACTTTGTACTACCTTCCGGCAACTCCTGAAGCCGCGTTGGTACCAAACTGTATTGGTTTATCCTCTCCTTTGGACTCTGATAGCAAGGCCGAGAGGGGAAATTAGACGTCTGGGCAGCCCTAGTTTTCCATATATTCCGCCCAGGCTCGTAGCGCACTGAGCGCTATTCCATCGTCTCTCAAGACAGACAAATGCTGATTCCGACATGGAAAAGTACACAAACTTAAACAAAAGGTGTCGACATTCGACATGACTTCAAGCAAAAAGTTTACTAGGAAACACCCATCAATACTAGAAAGAGTGATAAAAGTTAATGGACTTGAGAAATCTATTTTCTTGTAAATAGGTATTCAGAAAAAGATTTTATAAATTTCAACCGGCAAAAACGCTAAGTCTTCGGTAAATGAATACTAAATGTTTCCTTATAAGGAGACGGTCATTCTTACCATTATGCTTACCATTAGATAATCTTTAGTAATCATATCTTAAAAGATAGTCTTTAACTAACAGACTCCAACTCTACTTCGTCAGACGTTAAACGTAAGACGTTAAACTACATCCGCGTCCTGGGTAAGACGATAAACTACATCCAGCAACAAGGCCTCTGATCAGGTTTTGAGGAGCATGGAACCACCTCTTAATTGCTGGTGTTCCCAGGTCCACTCTGACCTAGGGTGGTAGCACCTGTTAGGGTCCCAGCTATGGGAAAATAATTAACTATTACCAGCAATACATTTTTGAAAAAAATTATTACCAGCAATACAATTTTGAAAGAAAAATATTACCAGAAACAGATTTTTTGACAAAACAAAATATTACCAACAATAAAAAATGTTGTCAGCATTAAATAACCCATTGAGATTGATATGCCGTAAAACAAATTAAACGAACCCAATCTAAACCAAAGAATACATATTCTATTCATGCGAATCTATCCTAAAAATATCAGCATTAAATAACCCATTGAGGTTAATATACCGTAAAACAAAATAAACCAAACCAATCTAAACCAAAGAATACATATTCTATTCATACGAATCTATCCTAAAAATGTTGTCAGCATTAAATAACCCATTGAGATGTTGATATGCCGTAAAATAAACCAAACCAACCAACTCTACAAAAGTTTCATATTTTGAATGAGTCGTGGGTATTTTACAAGCTCATAAATGTATTTGCCGTTTTACTCACACAATTATTCTCAGATATGTCTCACCTTGAAAACTTACTGAAGAAAAGTTGACTTCGGTTAATAACTACAGACAATAATTCGATTTTGACAAGAAGGATGCCAATGATGATGATAAATAATTATGATGATATGAACCTGAAATACGACTATGCAACAGACCCTAACCACAGTCGACACTCATCTCAGTCTCTCGGCTACTGGCATTTACTTGCAATTGAAGCTAATTTTCATACCCTGCAGTTCACGAAATGAGAATTATAAAGACTTGTATTGTGTATCGACTTAGACTTAGCAGGCAACTTATGCCTGAAATAGCCCTGGTGCGCCAGAAGATATGATTCAATGGGTCTGACTCCGCAGACAGAAGCGATCGGCTATTGAACTGAATAAAGACGGGAAGAACTTTTAATTCGTTGCCGCGCTTTCTCGATAATTGGTGAGAACAAACCTTGTTTTTGTGATTCTCGACGCTCAATCGCTACTTCGATCGCTTGCTTGATTTTTTTTCTCCTTCTCTTTTCCTCACTTCCTTCAGTCTCCTTCTCTCTTTGCAAATCATCCTTTCTACCGTCTTCTTGCTTCACTTTCCCACACATCTTACCTACCATCTTTTCCTCACTCTTCCTTACTGTATCTTTTTTTCCCTTTACTTCTCTTTTCCACTACTTAACTCTTTTTTCTACTCTTCTTCCCGACATTTTAACTCATTTTCTCTTCTTCCCTCTCTTCCATCTCCTTCTCATTCCCACTCTTAACCCTTCGTCACTTTCCTTCTCCTTCGTACTCTTCTTTCCCTCTCTTCCTCACCCCCTGCTTTTTTCTCTCTCTATCTCCCACATTTTCTTATTTTCTCAGTCACTCCTACTTTCTATCTCTCTTCCTCTTCCTGCGTATCTTTTTCCTTCACATTTTCTTTCCCACTCTCTCTTACTCCCTTATTTTCTCTCTCCGTAGATTTTCTGATTTTCTCTACCACTTTTTCCCCTCCCTTTCTATCTCTCTTCCGCTTTCTCCCTCTCTTCTTCATTCTCCTTCTCTTCCTCCTCCTCCTCTTTTTTCTCTCAAGCTACCTCCCACATTTTCTGATTTTCTCTACCACTCCTACTTTCTATCTCTTCCGCTTTCTCCCTCTCTTCTTCATTCTCCTTCTCTTCCTCCTCCCTCTTTTTTTTCTCTCCCACGATTTTGATTTTCTACCTCTCCATCTCTCTTTTCATTTTCTTCATTCTTTTTCCTCCCCTCCTCTTTTCTCTCAAGCTACCTCCCATTTCCCGATTTTCTACTTCCTACTTTCTATCTCTTCCCTTTTCTTCATTCTCATTCTCTTCCTCCCTCCTCCTCTTTTTTCTCAAGCTACCTCCCACATTTTCTGATTTTCTCTACCCTCCTACTTTCTATCTCTCTTCCCTTTCTCCCTCTCTTCTTCATTCTCCTTCTCTTCCTCCCTCCCTCCTCTTTTTTCTCAAGCCACCTCCCACATTTTCTGATTTTCTCTACCCTCCCTACTTTCTATCTCTCTTCCGCTTTCTCCCTCTCTTCTTCATTCTCCTTCTCTTCCTCCCTCCCCTCTTTTTTCTCTCAAGCTACCTCCCACATTTTCTGATTTTCTCTACCACTCCTACTTTCTATCTCTCTTCCGCTTTCTCCCTCTCTTCTTCATTCTCCTTCTCTTCCTCCCTCCCTCCTCTTTTTCTCTCAAGCTACCTCCCACATTTTCTGATTTTCTACCCTCCCTACTTTCTATCTCTCTTCCGCTTTCTCCCTCTCTTCTTCATTCTCCTTCTCTTCCTCCCTCCCTCCTCTTTTTCTCTCAAGCTACCTCCCACATTTTCTGATTTTCTCTACCACTCCTACTTTCTATCTCTCTTCCGCTTTCTCCCTCTCTTCTTCATTCTCCTTCTCTTCCTCCCTCCCTCCTCTTTTTCTCTCAAGCTACCTCCCACATTTTCTGATTTTCTCTACCTATCTCCCTACTTTCTATCTCTCTTCCCTTTCTCCCTCTCTTCTTCATCCCTCTCCTTTTTTCTTCCTCCCCTCCCTCCCATCTCTATTCCTCTTTCTGCTTCTCTTCTTCATTCGCCTTCTCTTTCCCTCTCTTCTCACCCCTCCTCCGTTTTCTCTCTTTATCTCCCACATTTTCTGATTTTCTCTACCACTCCTACTTTCTATCTCTCTTCCGCTTTCTCCCTCTCTTCTTCATTCTCCTTTTCTTCCTCCCTCCTTCTCATCTCTTCCTCTTTCTGCTTCTCTTCTTCATTCGCCTTCTCTTTCCCTCTCTTCCTCGCCCCTCCTTTTTTCTCTCTCTATCTCCCACATTTTTTGATTTTTCTCTACCACTCCTACTCTCTTCCACTGTCACCCTCTCATTCATTCGCCTCCTCTTACCTTCTCTTCCTCACTCCCTCCTCCTTTTTTTCCTCTCTATCTGTTTTCCATATTTCCTTATTTGCTCTGCCACTACGGCTTTCTCTCTTTCTCTCTCTTTCATTCAACCAAAATTTTATTTTCCAGTCTATTTATTACCATTACTTTAACAACATAAGATTTAATACAGCAGTGGACTGTCTCTATAAAAATCGCTTTCTATTAAACTTTCTATTTTATCGTCTGCTTTGATATTAAATCAGGATAACATCCGTGTTGATTAATTACCATCTATATCAACTTCAGTTCCTTTATCAATCTATAATATTTCTCTTCATTCGCCTGTCTAATACACACGCACTCACTCACGCACACATATACACACACACACACACATATATATATATATATATATATATATATAGAGAGAGAGAGAGAGAGGGTGGGAGAGTGGGTGTGGATGTATGTGGGTGTGTATGGGCGTATGTATCTGTAATGAGTTCTCTACCAAACCGTTCATTGAAATCTGTTCATGTACTTAAATAGATCAAAACATGAAAATGTAAGTTATTCTGGGTTATTGAAATAAAGCGAACATTAAACAGTGTTTTTTTCTTTGATTTTCATGAAGATCTATCTGGTGTTAAAAGTATCAAACAATACGACAGTCGATCATAAAGTAATGTCTGCTTTAATTAAATTTTAAATGTATTAATCAAAATTCTTAGGGAATTTTAGCTATAAACAATAAAGTGTATAGAACTAGAAGAAAATAATTGTAGTTAGCCTCTCGTTCGCTAACCATTAACCTCTTTTAAAAAAAATGGCTGCCTCTCTTGACGCACGCAGAAAGCAGAGGACTATCATATAATTTCTGTTTTGGGAAGGAGAAACGGAGACAAACATTCAAGGGAGGTTTTTTGAATACTTATGGAAACACGGCATTGATGTAAGCATAATAAGAAGATGAGTCAGTTGAGTTAATGGCAATCCTAAAAGGAAGCAAAGACTAACGTTTTTGACAGGTCCCGCAATGGCAGGTCAGCTGCTGCTGTGGATGAGTATAAAGTAAAACAAAATAGATGCTCTCATAACAGCTGACAGAAGAATCCCCATTGTACATACGCTGTAAAAACCTTCAGGTGAGTTATGTCTGGCATTGTTCTGTAAAACAGAGGAGATTAATTTAGGGATAGGGATTAAGTAGAAAAAAATATTCCATAGCTTATAAACAGCCACACATCGTATTCTGAAATATTATATATATTGCAGGGTCAGTTAAATGCCACAAGTTCCGCAAGAATAGAAGGAAACTGGATGTAGTGGGGTCTTTTTATCTGTCTGTGAATTGACGAATCAGTAACTAGTGAGAAAGTAAAAAACTTGCCTGATAAAAAGGAATTTCTTCCTAAAAAAATATTTGATGATAATTTGTCTCTTGATATCGAACACAGGGATCTACTAGATGCGTAGACATGGAAGTTTCTCTTTACCCACACTGTAACTGACAAATAGTCGACAAGATTTCCCAACTGGGAACAATAAAAGTAGTCAATACAGTTTATATGCGTTGAGCTATTGATTACTACAATAAAAATCTTTCTCCTGCTGAAAAGACGGCTGATCTTATTTTCAGTAAGAAATAGTGATCGGGCGACTTTTGCGTATTTGCCAAGGATACTAACATAGCGACACGACTGACTACGAAATAACACCCGTAGTTGCTAAACACCAGTTCGAGCCACATACGATGTCGTGAAAATGTCACATATTGAAGTTCTTGCAGATTAATGCAGTATTTTGCTGCTCAAAATGGGCTCCCAGAATGCAAACAGTCTTATTGAGGGAGCAGAAGATGATTGCATCCCAAGAGTTTCTGAAACTGCACATCACAAACAGCAGCTTCTTAAGTGAGTTGGCAGAGATAAGACTTGTGTTTATCGCTATAAACAGAGATCAAAAGGGGAAGACTTACTCAGAAAAAGATATGAGCCAGTTCTTTCTGAATGGAATCGGATGGAGAAGAAAGGAGTCATAGTTAAGGTTTATGCCCCATGGCGCTACTAATGATGTTGTCTCTGGCGTGATCACAACTTGAAAACTAAGAGCAAAGACTATTCGAGCCAGATCTTTTCTTTGCAATATAAAAATGCGAAATCTCACAGCAGCTTAAAGATCAGGCGAGCAGTCACCGTCCACGGCTGAGCAACCTTCCCTCAATCGCTCTACACTCCTGACCTGGCACCCTCAAAGTTTCATGATTGAGCCCATGAAGGAGACACTCAGAGGAAAGCGGTTCTCCAGTGATGATGCGGTGAAAAAGGCAATTCGTACATGGCTGAGAAAATAACTAAGCCGTTTCTAAGGAACAAGAATACATGCCTGCATTTAAAGATAAAATATTATATTTAAGAATGAAGCTGACTATGTTGAGGACTAAATTTGGAGAACGAAAGGAATGGATCCTGACAAAGAGGGCAAGCTGAAATTCAAATCTACTGGAAATGGGAAAACGAACATAAAGTGCTTAGAGCGTTTCTATTATTAAATCTATTGTAATTAAATTAGAACAGACATTATTTTTATCGACTCTCATAAGTGACTCTACTTTGGTTTCCTGGTTCGGTATTTTCTTCGTTAATGGAAGTTACGAATTGTTCACCAGTTGTACTTATTACTGTATTATTCATGTTTAAGTGAGAGAGCAGGACGCCATTAAAATGGCGCTAGAGTACAAACATACGAAACCCAATATATTCATCATGACATTCAATATGATAATAGTATACGAAACATGCATCACAGCGAAATGTGTATAAGGCAACAGGTTTTGATAAAAGCAGTACAGGTTACAAAATTTAAATTCGCGAGACAAAACGTAATTCATATTAGTCGTATGAATGTTTAATTTAACTGTATCGTTATAGAAATTAAATTTTAACAAATTTCAAATAGGTTTTCAGTCTTTTATGTATTCATTTATTTATTTTTTTGACTTTTTAAGTTTATGTGTCCTTAATTGTTTCAATACAAATTTAGTAAAAACAGGCAATAAAATGAAATAGCTCCGACGTATATCAATTCTTAGGCACACATCGGACTTTCAATACATCTCCGTCTGAATAAATTATACTCACTTTTTACGAAAAAAACATCTTCCAGATCAAAATCGTAATCACGAATGTTTCACTAGCACACAAGGGAATTGAATGCGTTAATTCTAAGTCTCTTTTATGATTGCATATTCTTTTCTTTAATCCCGGGATAGTTCGCGGGTTATTGGGGGGAGCATTGTTTTACATTCGATTTTATAGGCCCCTTTTTTGATGCAAAATTAACTATGTTTTACATTGATTAAACTTTTAAAAACTCTTTTTTTTTTGAAAGGTGATGTGACGGTTATCAACAAGGAAAATAAAATAGGCGGTATGTGTTCTTACTGCCGCTAAAATTCAAATTCACTTTACATTTTCTTGTAAAGCAACTGATGACTGAACTATTTCATGAAAACAGTCAACCAGCACGATTTTAAAAATATCGGACAGGCGGAGTAATGTTTGTGTCAAGTTTTGTCACCCGTAAAATTATAG